AATAATTTATATATATATAAAAAAAATAAATATATACTAATAATAATGACGATGATGATGATGAAGATGGGAAAGTAAATAAATAAATGAAGGCGACAACAATATGTGTATTGTAACGATAATAATGATAATTGATTGATGATATTTGAATAATAATATTTAATGATAATATTTAATGAGCACTCACCTCTAGTGCGTTTGTTGAACGATCTGTTAGTAGTTGATATTATGAATGTTATTACATTGTTAATAATCCACGTAAATATTTGTTGTTTTTTTTTTTGTATGATTTTACATATGGTTTTCTCTTTGAATGCGCAACAATAATAATCAGATTTATCGAAAGTTTATAACTTCGTTTCGTTTTTTTTAAATTTTAAATTTTGTACAACAAAGTTTGTACAACGCATTGAAAATATTGAAAAAGAGAGAAAAAGAAAAACAGTTAAAGAAGACGTGTTTCGTGAAAATAACGATGATTTTAAATGTATCAGGAAAATAAACAAGAATATTTTACAACTGGACACAAATTTATTTATTATTTTTTCTGTTGTTGCTTTACTTTTAGCACCGATGATTTCTGCATTTTTAGTGGATTTAAGTGTAATGAAATAAAGAGCAATAAAAACGATATTATTAAGATTTCTTTGTTTCTATTAGATTGCAAAACCCGGCACTTCCACCAATTATTTAAATAATAGTTATAGACTTAAAGTATATTTGGTTGCCTATAGAAGAAACATTTTTTTTATTGCCATTTCCATAACAATAAATCTAGTTAGTTTGTTTCACTAAACTTTTAATAAAAGAGGTTTTGTTACTTCAGAAATTTCCTTCTAATTTACTTTAAAACTTCGAAGTTTAATATACATTTGGTTAAATGTGAAATATTGAAATAATTGTAATGTTAAAGTTTTCAAATTTTGCTTTTCAAATTTTATTTTAATTAATAAATATTTTCATAATTAACTGTAGGAGTATGTTTGGTTGCCTACTAATTAGAAATTGATGTTAAATTATAATTATAAGTTAATTTTTTATAAATTTATGCAAAAATAGGACACAAAGTTTGTGAGTTTGAAATTTAGATCAAATTAGTTTTCAGCATAAGCGTTTTTTTTTATTATGAAAATATCAATATAATGTTTTTGTTGTTGTTGTTTTGCTCATTCGAATTTGATTCCTTGAGCGAGCGGCAAGTTCTTGGAATGGTTGATGGTGATGGTAGATCTCCTCATGTACTGCTTCCAAGCATCCGATCCGGATTCCCTTCCACCGCCAGTGTGCTTCTCACCACCGAAAGCACCGCCGATTTCTGCACCGTTCGTCGGGATGTTCACGTTGACGATGCCACAATCAGAGCCCTTTGGACCGATCCACTGCAAAGAAAGAATAATAATTAATAAATAAAGTTTTTAAGACTTTTGTTGTTGTTGTTATTACTTCGAAGATTTTTCCAAGATTGGTGGTGAACAAGCTGGAGGATAAACCTTGATTGACTTCGTTGTTGAAGCTGACGGCTTCGTTGAGATCATTAGCTTCCAAGACGTAGACGATCGGAGCGAAGCATTCATTGTGAACGATCGGACTGTCGTGCGGTAATCCCGTGACGATTGTTGGTTCAACAAAGAAACCAGGACCGTCGAGGACTTTACCACCGAATTCGATCTTACCTCCAGCCTTCTTCACCTGCTCAATGGTATCCCTGTACTTGTTAACAGAAACCTCGCTGTGAAGAGGTCCGACTAAAACACCTTCGGTCAAAGCGTCGCCCATCCTTCCCAAGATCTGCTGGTAGGCTTTCTTCAGTCTGTCCAAGAATTCCTTAGAAATCTTCTTGTTGAGGATAAGTCTTCTGGTCGTTGTGCACCTTTGACCGGCGGTTCCAACGCAAGCGAAGACTGCAGCTTGTACAGCCATGTTAAGATCAGCGTCTTCGTCGACGATGAGCGCATTGTTTCCACCCAATTCTAATAAGTGCTTTCCGAAACGCTTCTGCACTTCGACACCAACCAAATTACCGACTTCGCAGCTTCCAGTGAATGAGAGAAGTTTGATTCTGCGATCCGCAGCCATGGCTTTACCAACATCGGCGCGACCGCTGCAAAGGGTAGCAATAGCTCCTGGAAGATTATTCTTCTCCAAGACATCAACGACGATCTTCGTGGTTGCTACGGAAACCAAGGGAGTGGTTTCAGAGCCCTTCCACAAAACGGTATCTCCGCACACCTAATAAACAAACAATCAAATGATCTCCATGGTTACTTTAAGATTTTTTGAGGTTATTACCATGGCGATGGCGCTGTTCCAACCGTAAACGGCTACCGGGAAGTTGAAAGCAGAGATGACTCCAACGACACCCAGAGGATTCCAGTTTTCCAGAAGGACGTGTCCGGGTCTCTCCGAAGGAATGATTGAACCGGACAAGGATCTGCACAAGCCTACGGCGTAGTCGCAGATGTCGACGTACTCTTGGACTTCTCCGATACCCTCAGGGACGATCTTACCTGCAAGTTACCAATTAACTAATTGCAGTGAAACGTTTAGACGAGAGTTTACCCATTTCGATGGAAACGAGTTTTCCCAAAGGCACCAACTTCTGCCTCAGAGCATCACCAATTTGCCTGACGATTTCGCCTCTCGCCGGAGCCGGAAGATCGGCCCAAACCTGCCAGGCCTTCTCCGAAGCCCTCACGCAACTATCGTAATCAGAGGTGTTTCCATATTTCACCTCAGCGATGACTTTACCGTTGCTCGGACAAATCGACTTAACAGTCTGAAGAAAAACCATACAATTAAACATCTCTTGATTAAAAAACGAAACTCACCTCTCCGGATCCCTTCCAAGCTCCATCGTACACTCCACCGTTGGTGGCGCTCAAACCCAACTCCTTCAAGAAGGAATACTTCGAGTCGTTGATGAGGTATTCGGAAGACATGGCTCTGGTGAAGAATCTGTTGGACAAGGTGAAGAGTTTAACGGGAGAGCGCAGCGCTAGCAGAGACATAGTTGATCAATCGGAAGGTCGACGAGCACTGACGACATTGCGCCTTTCCAACAAATCTTATCAGCTTATCAACATCGGCTTCAATTTTACAAAAAAAGAAAACATCCACGAACAAAACGCATTCTCGCAGCTTTATCTAACCAATTAACACGTCCCAATTAACGCTAAAGACTAAAACACACCTGCACAATTCATTAGCACAAGGTGATTCTTTTTAATCCGCGCGTTTTAAAATAGAAAATTGGATCAAACGTTTCTTATCATAATAATTGACCTTTCGGATGTCGCAAGTTTGAACTCTTCGACCGTTTATCTGACGTATATCCATACGTTACGTAACGAAACTGTTTGCTACTTCACCATTAAACATTAACCATTAAATTAACAACAATTTGATGGATTTCTAATATCATTTTTTAACCCCATTAAAAAAAACATCACTAACATAATTATTTTTGCTTTTATCATTGAATATTAACATCACCATTAAATTTTTAACAAATTCATCAAATTTAAACTTTAAATATCTCTGTTAAATTCATAATTTACCATTGGTTTTGGATTTAAAATTTTAACTTACTCGATTGGTTTTTTTTTTGCTCCTGTTGTCGTCTTCACGACGTGTGGAAGTGGTGTGATGATCTGCAGCATCCGATGTTCGTGTATTTATACTCGTTCGAATGTTTGATTAAGTTGTTTGCAATCGTTACTCCTAATTGCATTATTATTTTCATTATACATATTTTTTTGACACACGATAACGAATCGTTATTTTTGCTCTTCGTTCTCTCAGTACGAATCTTCTGCAGACGATTGATTGCTTTGGAATGTCTTCTTATCATAAAGTAAAAAAAAAAAATCATAATTTGCAATTGTCCCTTGTTATTGCAAATCCATTAAAATTCCATTGGATTAAAACGTTTTATCTGTTATTTTGAGTACATTTATATGAAATAATCAACTAAAATTTTCGGTTTTCTCTCAGTTTTCTTCTAAATCTTGAAATGTTAAGTTTTCTTTTTAAACCTCTAGAATTTTTGTAGCAACTATAATAAACGTAAACGTAAAGTAAAAAAAAAATCATAATTTGCAATTGTCCCTTATTATTGCAAATCCATTAAAATTCCATTCGATTAAAACGTTTTATCTGTTATTTTGAGTACATTTATATGCAATAATCAACTAAAATTTTCGGTTTTCTCTCAGTTTTCTTCTAAATCTTGAAATGTTAAGTTTTCTTTTTAAACCTCTAGAATTTTTGTAGCAACTATAATTAGTAATTTGTGAACAAATTTACATTGGTTTTTGTTAAAATTAATTAGGATATTAATAGAATTCTTCAAAATTATAAATTAGTATTGATTTCTGCTTAGTTAAGTTTTTTGAAATTAAGAAAATTCTAAAAAGATGATTTTAGGTAATAATTAGTTAATAAACTTGATTTGAAATATTTATATTCGATTTTTTTAAGAAAATAGGTTCAAATTGTAATAACGTGAAATTTCATCATCAATTAATATTGATTTCTGATTAGTTAACTTTTTTTAAATTACGAAAATTATAAACTTTTCATATGTTAAAAAGATGAGTTTAGGTAATAATTAGTTAATAAACTTGATTTAAAATATTTATATTCGATTCTTTTAAGAAAATAGGTTCAAATTGTAATAACGTGAAATTTCATCAAAATCAAATATCAGTCAACATTTCACATTTATTCCGAAAATGATTCATATAAACATTATTGCGTTTTCCGTTCTTTTTAGATTTCAAATACGTCCACCTAAGTTGTCCACTGCGAGTTACAAATGCTAAAGATCGTATTTGCGTGTGCACGTGCACTGTTTTGTTCGATTAAACTGTCCGATTTGGTTAAACCGAATCAGGACTTAATTGCTTCGAAATGTAGGTCGAAAAGTGCACGAATGATACAGCAGGATCGTCCTGCAAGTCCTGCGAACACGTCACGCGTATGTTTGCGATTCCTCTAATATCCTTAATCCCTCTTGTTGATCCCAGAGATAAAGCAGATTGTTTTCATTCGTCCGTCGTGTTTCCAGCGTGCGTCGAGGAGGCGTGACGACGACGAGGACAAAAGAGTTTGCAACGAGTGAAACAAAGAGAGAAAGATGTGTGGAAATGGTGGTGGAAATGGACTAGGTTTTAAATACTGAGGGAAAATCCTTAAATTTCCATCCGACTATTTTCGCAATTGGTCATGAACCAATCCGGTCGGTTGTTCGCTCTTCATCTGTGCGTGTCTCTGCTCGTCTTCGGAGGAGAGGTGCTCGGTGGGACAAAAGAAAATGAGATCGTCGTTAGGATCGTCGGAGGTCCGTCGATGGCCCAAAGATTGGCCTACGAATTGGGATTCCTTTACGAGGGTCAAGTGAGTTTTCGAACTGAACTCTATATCACAAAGAGAATGGAAAGAAAAAATGTGTACAGTCCAAATTGCAAAACGCCTTTGGTCCTCGACCCTAATTCCCAATAGACATGCGGGTTCCGATGTGAACCGAAAACTTGATTAGTTCAAATTAAACTTTACCCAATTTCAATTTCACTACACAATTCAAATCGATTTTCATGTAATTATTTTGAGTAATTTTTAATAGCTTAAATTTTAAAGAAAAAATTTGTATTTCAAATATCAAATTCATCAAGAAGCAATTACATAATCTGTACTAAGTGAAAAATAAATCAAAATCAACTTAACCTCAACACAAATCAAATGACGTTCAAAGAAAATAGTAACGTTTCTTTTATGACATTTTTTTTGAAAAATTTCTTAATTTATTAAAAATTCCATTATCTATTTACTTTTGATTGTAATTTTAACTCGTATTATTAATATTCTAATTTTATAACATTTTCAACAATCTATTTCATATTATGATCAACTTTATCCAACTTTATTCATAGTTCTAAATAACGTTTGGTTATTACATGATTTTGATAATTATTATAATTTTTTACTATGAAACATCATTAAGAAATTAAACTTTCCATCAATAAAATTATATAATCTTTACACAATAAATAACAAATAAAATTTGTCATAACCTCAATAATATATAAATGACGATAAAATAAAAATCGTAACGTTTCTTTCATGACACCTGAAGTTTGTAATAATTTTGATACTAAAAATTTTATAACAATAAATCATCATCATGGAAAAGCCAAATTAAGCACGATCAAATTTGTAAATCTTTACTACGTAATAGTTAAATAAAACTTGGCATAACCTCAATACAAAGTGAATGAAAATCAAATGAAACAGAAACGTTTCTTTCAAGACAATCCGACACAAAAAATAAATATTTTTTTATGAAAAATTTACAAATTTGGAAACATAACCTAACTAATTTAAGATTTATAATAATTTTCTCAATCAGTTCACTATAATTCATTTTAATAATATTTTTAAGCTTCAATCATTATTACTAAATCATCACAATTGTTTATAATAATACCAATTTGTTGAAAATGTTTTTTTTTGTTCATTTTGAAAATACGTTTTTACAAGTATTATAAGTAATGAACATTTCAAACTTTTCATAATAAATTTTGATAATTTTGTCTGTACGAATATTCAATGAGAATTGACATAACCTCAATAGAAACTAAATGATGATGAAACAAAGTAGTAACGTTTCTTTTATGAAAATTTTACAAAATTTTAAAAATTGAACTATAAACGTATTAATTTAAACTTTTTGACTATATTTTGTATGTATTATGTAAAGGGATCAATGCAAAAATCTAATTGAATCGAAATTTCATCGTGTATGCACGCCATATGCCACTCACTCGAGTGCCTTCGAGTCCACTCTTCGCATTCATTATCACATCGGATAAATATTGATTGTGATAAAGACCGTCATAAATTACACGCGAAAATATATTAACAATGGCTCTGAGGCTTTTATGAAGTGGACCCATAAAACAATATATATATATAGAGATATTGATTGATTGATTCATTGTTACTCCCCCGCACGCTTTGTTTTCCCTCTTTTTTTTCTTCTTCTTCGTTTATTATTTTTCATCCAGTCTTTTTTTTGGCTGTTTCCACACGTTTCGGGCATTATCTGGCTGAAAGCAGCGCAAATATAATCGCACACACAGAGAGAACAAAAAGTACAATAGTGCACATAGAAAAAAAACAAACATGAATCGTGGATTAACTGATTCGGTTCGAAATCAATTGAGCTTTGGCAGATACGTGATTGTTTTTTTTCGTGTGCATTATACGCATATGGCTGTGATAGAAACAAATGAAATTGTTTAATTAATCGTTAATTTCAGGAAAATAACATGAAATAATATCATAAAACATAAAGATTAATGAAATTCAAATTAAGACTTAATTTAACTGCTAACTTCTTAAGAATTCAATACTAATCTGATTGATTTGTAACTTGTTGTATTGATATTGATGGACGACCCGTCGACTTTTCGCTCGTTTCTCTCAATTAAATTGACTTTTATTGGCTGGATTTACTCTTTATTTTTGTTTACTTCCATTTTCATTAACTTTATAATTTGGTAATGAATTTTTATAACAAAAAATATCAAAATTTTCACAATTTAATCTTTATTATATAAAAACTCAATAAAAATTGACATAACCTCAACACAAAATGATTGACAATCAAAGAAAATAGTAACGTTTCTTTCATGACAATCTGACATAACAAAAAGAAAGAACGTTTTATTACAAATTGAAATCAACTTAGTTTTGATTCTCTGATAAAATTATAAACTATGATTTATACAAGAGTTGCTAAATTAGTTAATGAACTTTTATAACAAAAAAAATCGTCGTGGAAATAACAAACTTTTCACAATGAAATATGATAATCTTTGTTTATATAAAAGTTGTATAAAAATTGACGTAACCTCAACACAAAATGAATGACAATCAAATAGTAACGTTTCTGTCATGACAATCCGACATAACTAAAAGAAAGAACGTTATATTACAAATTAAAATCAACTTAGTTTTGATTATGAGAAAAAATTATAAGTTATGGTTTATACAAAATTTGCTAAATTATTTAATGAACTTTTATAACAAAAAAATCGTCGTGGAAATAACAAACTTTTCATAATGAAATATGATAATCTTTGTTTATATAAAAGTTGAATAAAAATTGACGTAACCTCAACACAAAATAAAAGAGAATCAAAGAAAATAGTAACGTTTTTTTTATGACAATCCGACACAACTAAGAGAAAGAACGTTATATTACTAATTGAAATCAACTTAGTTTTGATTCTTTGATAAAATTATAAACTATAATTTATACAAAAGTTGCTAAATTAGTTATTGAATTTTTATAACAAAAAAAACAGTATGAAAATATCAAAGTTTTCACAATGAAATATGATAATCTTTTTTTTATATAAAAGTTGAATAAAAATTGATATAACCTCAACACAAAATGAATGACAAGCAAAGAAAATAGTAACGTTTCTTTTATGAAAAATCCGACACAACTAAAACAAATAATTTTTAAAACTCAATTGTGTCCAATTCTCATTAAAATTAATAGAAAATATTTCTTGGATTTTTATAATCTTCAGGTAACAATTACATAAATCAATTGATTGGAAATACAATATATACGTGTTTTATTTTAACATTTCTTTGAGCGTTCTGTTAATAATGTCAGTTTAATTAACGTTGATAAAGGTAGGATTTAGTTGTAGCTCTATGTATGTAGGAGAGAAGCTTATGTGAAAACGTGCGACGAACATGTGGGACGCGTGCGATCGGCGCACGTGCGTTGCACGGATAGAGCGACGACGGACGACGGCGGCGGCGTTTCGTGACGTCAGAGCGTCGCGCCGCCGTCCGCGACTCCCCCATCGATTTGGACGACGCCGGGCGTCGCCGGCGCGCGAAAACGGACGCCGTGTATCAGGAAAGCAGGAGCACGACGAGGTCGACAGCCAACAACCCCCTAAAAATAGACGACTACGACGACGAACTTGATGCTCCAGCCGCCCCCCCGGTTTGGTCAAAATTTAATTATAGATCGAAAATCAACATGGCACGTGCCCGACGAAGACGGAGCGATGCAAGCAGATGCGAGCGCGAGAGAGATAGAGTGCACTCAATGCGTTAGTTACGAAGGGGAACCCCCCTTCATCATCGAACTAGGGGAACACCTGGTATTACTGGCAACAACATTACACCCATATGCCACACGTAACGGTTCTCTTTCTCTCTCTTTTTACATCCGTTTTCCCTCGTTACATTTATTCACACTTCGTGTTAAACCCGCATATGTTTCCTTCTTTTTTTTGTTCTTTCAGTTTACGTTTTTACGATTTCCAGAGCGGAAAATGTTATTTTTTTTTGTTGTCGTTGTTTAGGTTCGTGGCTTCGCCGATACGTACATCCTCCTGCCCATAGACGATCACGAAGGCGTCTATCCGACACACCTCAAACGAGGAGCCAACAAATCCAGGAGGCTTGCTGATGATGATAGGGTAAACCATCATTTATTTCAAACAAAACAACAACTTTTCTTAGTCTTCAAATCATTTTTTCATTTGTTTTTTGTTTGTTTATTATACATAAACATGGCGTACTAATTTCATCATTTGTTTAAAACTAAAAAACAAAAACTATAGACTTCTAAATATTATTAATTATACATACAAATTAAGAAAAGTTTTAATATTTTTTAAACTTTTATAAACTATAGATTTAGCATTAATTAAGTTTAATAAATTTATTTCTTAGGTGTTGTGGGCTGATCATCAGGAGACGAAGCAAAGACAGAAACGCGATTTCTACCCGGACGATCCGCGCAAAACATACGCGAACTTCCGAAGATCTCGACCTCCGAAAATCGACAGAACTTTCAACGATGAACTCTGGTCTCAAGAATGGTATTTGGTACGATCTCCAAAAACTAAATCCTTCATTTTCACACATTAACCCACGTGCATTTTACAGCAAGATACAAGAACGCGACCGGATTTACCGAAACTCGACCTCAACGTGCTTCCACTATACAGACTTGGGGTTACAGGAAAAGGCATCAGAATTAGCATACTCGATGATGGCATCGAATACACCCATGACGATCTGAAACGCAATTACGTGCGTTTCCAAGACAACTATCAATAGTTTTTGTTTTTTTCTAAAGTCATTTGTTTTAGGACCCTGACATAAGTTGGGATTGTAACGAAGATGATGATGATCCGTTGCCTAGATACGAACCGTCTAGGGCGAATAGTCATGGTACCAGGTGTGCAGGTGAGGTGGCTATGATGGCGGATAACAGGAAATGCGGTGTGGGTATAGCTTACAATGCGAGGATCGGTGGTGTTAAGCTGCTGGACGGTTTAGTTAACGATAGGATCGAAGGAACCGCTTTGGGATTTGCTCAAGATTTAGTGGATATTTATAGCGCAAGTTGGGGCCCGAACGATGATGGTAAAACTGTGGATGGACCTGGAAGATTGGCGAGAGAAGCTTTGGAGCGTGGAATTAGAGAGGTATAGTTACCTATCTTCTCTTAATTCATAATCTGACCTAAAAAGTCTAACCTAACCTCAATTAGCCTAACCTTAACTCGCCTAATACTTCAACTAAACTAAATTCAATTGACTTAAATGGTAAAACTGTCGATGGATTTGCAAGATTGTCGAGAGAAGCATTGGAGCGTGGAATGAGAGGTATAGTTACCTATCTTCACTGAATTCATAATCTGACCCAGAAAGTCTAACCTAACCTCAATTAGCCTAACCTTAACTCTCCTTATACTTCAACTAAACTAAATTCAATTGACTTAAATGGTAAAACTGTCGATGGATCTGGAAGATTGTCGAGAGAAGCTTTGGAGCGTGGAATTAGAGAGGTATAGTTACCTATCTTC